GGGAATTGGGAATGGAATGTGGGAATGGCAGCAGGCAGGACAGGCTGGACTGGCGGCTGCTCGCCATGAAACAGTACGGAAAAAAAGCGGGAATTGGGAATAAATCCTGGATTTAACCTGGGAATGAATCTGGGGATAAATCTGGGAATAAATCCAGGAGTAAATCCAGGAGTAAATGTGGGAATTGGGAATGGAATGTGGGAATGGCGGCAAGCAGGACAGGCTGGACTCGCGGCTGCTGCCATGAAACAGTACGGAAAAAAAACGGGAATAAAGTCTGGGAATTTGGGATAGATCTGGGAATAAATCCAAGAATAAAACCCAGGGAATCTGGGAACTGAATCTGGCAATTGGGAATGGAAGCTGGGAATGACCCCGGGAATCTGGGAATGGAATGTGGGAATGGCACCCAGGAATTGGGAAAGAAATCTGGGAATAACGGCCAGGAATCTGGGAATAACACCGGGAAAAAGACCCAAGGAATGTGGGAATGAAACTTGGGAAACAAAGAGTTCCCACAGGGAAAACTGGGAATAAAGGCCAGGAAATTGAGGGAAAAAAAATTTTCCCTTTCCCTGACCCCAAATCCCGGCATTTTCCCTGTGCTGACCCCAAATCCCGGCATTTTCCCTGTGCTGACCCCAAATCCCGGCATTTTCCCTTTCCCTGCCCCAAATCCCGGCATTTTCCCTGTGCTGACCCCAAATCCCGGCATTTTCCCTGTGCTGACCCCAAATCCCGGCATTTTCCCTGTGCTGACCCCAAATCCCGGCATTTTCCCTGTGCTGACCCCAAATCCCGGCATTTTCCCTGTGCTGACCCCAAATCCCGGCATTTTCCCTGTGCTGACCCCAAATCCCGGCATTTTCCCTGTGCTGACCCCAAATCCCGGCATTTTCCCTGTGCTGACCCCAAATCCCGGCATTTTCCCTGTGCTGACCCCAAATCCCGGCATTTTCCCTGTGCTGACCCCAAATCCCGGCATTTTCCCTGTGCTGACCCCAAATCCCGGCATTTTCCCTGTGCTGACCCCAAATCCCGGCATTTTCCCTGTGCTGACCCCAAATCCCGGCATTTTCCCTGTGCTGACCCCAAATCCCGGCATTTTCCCTGTGCTGACCCCAAATCCCGGCATTTTCCCTGTGCTGACCCCAAATCCCGGCATTTTCCCTGTGCTGACCCCAAATCCCGGCATTTTCCCTGTGCTGACCCCAAATCCCGGCATTTTCCCTGTGCTGACCCCAAATCCCGGCATTTTCCCTGTGCTGACCCCAAATCCCGGCATTTTCCCTGTGCTGACCCCAAATCCCGGCATTTTCCCTTGCCCTGACCCCAAATCCCGGCATTTTCCCTTGCCCTGACCCCAAATCCCGGCATTTTCCCTTGCCCTGACCCCAAATCCCGGCATTTTCCCTTTCCCTGACCCCAAATCCCGGCATTTTCCCTTGCCCTGACCCCAAATCCCGGCATTTTCCCTTGCCCTGACCCCAAATCCCGGCATTTTCCCTTGCCCTGACCCCAAATCCCGGCATTTTCCCTTGCCCTGACCCCAAATCCCGGCATTTTCCCTTGCCCTGACCCCAAATCCCGGCATTCCCCCCCATCCCAAATCCCAAATCCCGTTTTTGGGATCAGCTGCCGAGCGGGGCCATCCCATTTCCCCTCAGGATTTGTGGCTCCGCCGTTCCCGTAACGACCCCGGCAGGAATTCCCATAAATCCCATAAAATCCCATAAATCCCTTAATTGCCTCCCCATCCCGGCCGGGCGGGGGCAGCGATCCCAAAAATCCCTTTGGGGTTTTCCCAGCTGCTCCCGCCCCGTTCCTTTATTCCCTGCTCCTCACCCGTGTCCGGCTCAGCTGCGATCCCAATCCCGGAATTCCCTCGGGGTTTGGGGGCTCAGCTGCGATCCCAATCCCAAAATTCCCTCGGGGTTCGGGGGCTCAGCTGCGATCCCAATCCCGAAATTCCCTCGGGGTTCGGGGGCTCAGCTGCGATCCCGACCCCGGAATTCCCTCGGGGTTTGGGGTGGCTCCGTGGCCGTTGTCCCGAGGTTTTTCCCGGGGTTTTTTTGGGGTTTTGCCGTGTCCCGGGGCCGGGGGCAGGTGTGGGGATGGGTTTGGGATTAATTGGGAATTGTGACCCCAAATCCCGCCGGGGGAGCGGGAATGGGGCGGCAGCTGCGCCGCGGGGACGGGGAAATGCGGGAAATGTGGGAACATGTGGGAAATATGGGATAAATGGGATATAGGGGATGTATAGGATAAATGGGAATATTGGGATATAGGGGATAAATGGGTAAAATAAGAATATGGGATATATGGGGATAAATGGGATATATGGGATAAATGGGGATATGGGATATACGGGGGAAATGGGATAAATGGAAATAATGGGATAAATGGGATATATGGGAAAATGGGATATATAGAAAAAATGGGGAATATGAAAAAAATTGGGAATATGTGATAAATGGGAATATGGGATAAATGGGAATATGGGAAAAATAGGAATATGGGATAAATGTGAAAAACAAGAGTATGGGATATATGGGATAAATGGGATATATGGGAATATGGGATATATGGGAATAATATGAATATGGGATAAATGGGAATATGGGATATATGGGATATATGGGAATATGGGATAAATGGTAAAAATAAGAATATGGGATATATGGGAATATGGGATATATGGGAAAAATGGGATATATGGGATAAATGGAAATATGGGATGTATGGGAAAAATAAGAATATGGGACATGTGGGAATATGGGATAAATGGGATATATGGGAATAATGGGAAAAAAGGGATAATTTGGAATAATGGGAAAAATGGGATAATTGGGAGTATGGGGAAAAATGGGAATAGTGGGGGAAATGGGATATATGGGGAAAATGGGATATATGGGATACATGAGGTGTATGGGTTATATAGGATAAATGGGATAAGTGGGAATATGGGACAGATGGGATAGATGGGAATAATATAGGATAAATGGGATAAATGGGATAAGTGGGAATATGGGACATATGGGACAGATGGGATAGATGGGATAGATGGGAATATGGGAAAAGTGGGATATACGGGATAAATGGGTTATGTGGGAATAATGGGATAATTGGGAATAGTGGGAAAATTGGATAAATGGGAAAATGGGATATATGGGATGTATGGGAATAGTGGGATATACGGGGGAAATGGGATAAATGGAAATAATGGGATAAATGGGATATATGGGATAAATGGGAATAGTGGGATAAATGGAATCTATGGGATAAATGGGATATATGGGATAGATGGGATATATGGGAATAGTGGGATATATGGGGAAAATGGGATAAATGGAAATAATGGGATAAATGGGAATAGTGGGATATACGGGGGAAATGGGATAAATGGGGAAAATGGGATAAATGGGAATATGGGATAAATGGGATATATGGGATAAATGGGCTATATGGGATAAAGGGGATATATGGGATAAATGGGATATATGGGATAGATGGGAATACAGGATATATGGGATAGATGGGATAAATGGGAATATGGGATAAATGCGATATATGGGATAAACGGGATATATGGGATAAATGGAAATAATGGGATAAATGGGATATATGGGATAAATGGGAATATGGCATAAATGGAAATAATGGGATATATGGGAAAATGGGATATATAGAAAAAATGGGGAATATGAAAAAAATTGGGAATATGTGATAAATGGGAATATGGGATAAATGAGATATATGGGGAAAATGGGATATATGGGATAAATGTGGAAAATGGGATATATGGGAAAAATGGGAATATGGGATAAATGTGGAAAACAAGAATATGGGATAAATGGGATATATGGGATATATGGGATATATGGGATATATGGGATAAATGGGATATATGGGATAAATGGGATATATGGGATAAATGGGATATATGGGATAAAGGGGATATATGGGATTGATGGGAATACGGGATAGATGGGACAGATGGGATATATGGGAATAGTGGGGAAAAAAGAGAAAATTTCACATATGGGGATAAATGGGATAAATGGGAATAGTGGGATAAATGGGATATATGAGATGTATGGGATAAATGGGAAAATGGGATCTATGGCAAAAATGGGGAATATGGGAAAATGGGCGATATGGGATAAATGGGGTAAATAGGAATATGGGATATATGGGAAAATGGGATAAATGGGATAAATTTGGTATATAGGATAAATGGGATATATGGGATAAATGGGATAAATGGGATAAATGGATATATGGGATAAATGGATATATGGGATAAATGGGAATATGGGATAAATGGGAATATGGGATAAATGGGAATAGTATGAATATGGTATAAATGGGGTATGTGGGATAAATGGATAATTGGGAATATGGGATGAATGGGACAAAGGGGATATATAGGATAAATGGGATATATGGGATAAATGGGAATAGTGGGATATATGGGAATGAGACAATGGGAATAATGGGATGAATGGGAATTGGATAAATGGGAATAATGGGATAAAATGGGAATGGTGGGGTATATGGGAATGGGAATAATGGGATAAATGGGAATAATGGGTATATGGGGACAGTGGGAATAATGGGGGAAATGGGAATGGTGGGACATATGGGGAAAACAGGAATAATGGGGAGAAACGGGAATAATGGGAATAATGGGAATGGGATAACTGGCAATAGTGGGATAAGTGGGAACATGGGAGGAATGGGAATAATGGGATGAATGGGATAAGTGGGAATAATGGGGTAAAAGGGAAAATTGGGAGTGGGAGAAATGGGGAAAATGGGAACAATGGGAAAATTGGGAATAGGATAAATGGGAATTATGGGGTAAATGGGAATGGGAATAATGAGAATAATGGGAATTATGGGAATGGGATAAATGGGAATGGGAATGGGATACATAGGAATTATGGGATAAATGGGAATGGGAATAATGGGAATTATGGGAATGGGATAAATGGGAATTATGGGATACATGGGAATGGGAATGGGATACATGGGAATTGTGGGATAAATGGGAATTATGGGATAAATTGTAAGAATGGGATAAATGGGAATTATGGGATACATGGGAATGGGAATAATGAGAATAATGGGAATTATGGGAATGGGATAAATGGGAATTATGGGATACAGGGGAATTGGATACATGGGAATTATGGGATACATGGGAATGGGATAAATGGGAATTATGGGATAAATGGAAATGGGAATAATGAGAATTATGGGAATTATGGGAATGGGATAAATGGGAATTATGGGATACATGGGAATGGGATAAATGGGAATGGGATACATTGGAATTATGGGATAAATGGGAATGGGAATAATGGGAATTATGGGAATGGGATAAATGGGAATTATGGGATACATGGGAATTGGATACATGGGAATTATGGGGTACATGGGAATAACGGGGATGGGGATGTGGGGTGCATCCCGATCCCATTCCAGGGATTCTGGAGGATTTGGGGCTTCCTGGATTTGGGATTCCCTGGATTTGGGGTGTCCCGGATCTGGGATTCCTTGGATTTGGGTTTTCCTGGATTTGGGAGGGTTCTGGTTTAGGGGATTCCTGGCTCTGGGATTTCCTGGGTTTGGGGTTTCCTGCATTTGGGGTTTCTTGGATTTGGGGTTTCCTGGTTTTAGGGTGTCCTGGATTTGGGGTGTTCTTGGGTTTGGGATTCCCTGCATTTGGGGTGTTCTGGATTTGGGAGAGTCCTGATTTTTCCCCTATTTCCCTGCAATTTCCCCCCCATTTCCCTGGAATTTCCCCCCCATTTCCCTGGAATTTTCCCTCTGTTTCCCTGGAATTTTTTCCCCCTCTTTCTCATGGAATTTTTCCCCATTTCCCATGGAATTTTCTCCCCAATTTCCCTGGTATTTCCCCCCCATTTCCCTGGGTTTTTCCCCGTTTCCCATGGAATATTTTCCCATTTCCCATGGAATATTTTCCCATTTCCCAGGGTATAGTTTCCCATTTCCCACAGAATTTTTTCCCCTATTTCCCATGGAATTTCCCCTGTTTCCCATGGAATTTTTTCCCCTATTTCCTGGCTATTTCCCCCCCGTTTCCCATGGAATTTCCCCCCATTCCCACTGAATTTTTTCCCCCATTTCCCCTGGAATATTTCCCCCATTTCCCATGGAATTTTTTCCCCTATTCCCCACGGAATTTCCCCTGTTCCCTATGGAATATTTCCCCCATTTCCCATGAAATTTTCCCCATTTCCCATGGAATATTTTCTCCATTCACCACGGAATGTTTTCCCCTATTTCCCTGGGATTTCCCCCCCATTCCCCATGGAATTCCCCCCATTTCCCATGGAATTTTTTCCCCTATTTCCCTGGGATTCCCCCGCCCCCTTCCCCACGGAATTTCCCCTGTTTCCCATGGAATATTTTCCCCGTTTCCCATGGAATATTTTCCCCATTCCCTCGGGCAGATTTCCCCCATTTCCTTCAGAATTTTTCCCCCTATTTCCCTGGAATATTCCCCCATTTCCCACGGAATTTTTTCCCCTGTTTCCCTAGAATTTTTTCCCCTGTTTTCCTGGAATATTTCCCCCCATTTCCCTGAGTTTTTCCCCGTTTCCCTGGAATATTTCCCCGTTTCCCTGGGCATATTTCCCCCATTTCCCACGGAATTTTTTCCCCATTCCCCTGGGCATATTTCCCCCCCGTTTCCCTGGGATTCCCCCCGTTCCCCCCGTTTCCCGGCGCCGAGCGCCGTTGCCCACGGTGCGTGTTGCCGCAGTGAGAACGAGGCGCTGTGGCGGGAGGTGGCCGGCCTGCGCCAGAAGCACGCCCAGCAGCAGAAGGTCGTCAACAAGGTCAGTGCCCTTTCCCGGGGCAATTCCCACTTTTCCGGGGCCAATTCCCAAATTTCCTGAGGAATTCCCACTTTTCCGGGGCTAATTCCCAATTTTCCAGGGCTAATTCCCACTTTTCCGGGGGTAATTCCCACTTTTCCAGGGGCAATTCCCAGATTTCCAGGGTAATTCATCATTTTCCAGACCCAATTCCCACTTTTCTGGCAGTAATTCCCACTTTTCTGGGAGTAATTCCCAATTTTCCAGGGGTAATTCCCACTTTTCCGGGGCTAATTCCCAATTTTCTGGGGGTAATTCTCACTTTTCCGGGGGTAATTCCCAGATTTCCAGGGGTAATTTCCACTTTTCCAGGGTAATTCCCCACTTTTCTGGGGGAATTCCCACTTTTCCGGGGCTAATTCCCAATTTTCTGGGGGTAATTCTCACTTTTCCGGGGGTAATTCCCAGATTTCCAGGGGTAATTTCCACTTTTCCAGGGTAATTCCCCACTTTTCTGGGGGAATTCCCACTTTTCCGGGGCTAATTCCCTTCTCCGGGGCTAATTCCCAAATTTCCGGGTGTAATTCATCATTTTCCACACCCAATTCCCACTTTTCTGGCAGTAATTCCCACTTTTCCAGGGGTAATTCCCAATTTTCCGGGGAAAATTCCCACTTTTCCGGGGCTAATTCCCAATTTTCTGGGGGTAATTCCCACTTTTCCGGGGGTAATTCCCAATTTTCCGAGGGTAATTCCCACTTTTCCGGGGCTAATTCCCACTTTTCCAGGGGTAATTCTCAGATTTCCAGGGGTAATTTCCACTTTTCCAGGGTAATTCTCCACTTTTCCGGGGCTAATTCCCACTTTTCCCAATTCCCACTTTTCCGGGGCCAATTCCCAAATTTCCTGAGGAATTCCCACTTTTCCGGGGCTAATTCCCAATTTTCCAGGGCTAATTCCCACTTTTCCGGGGGTAATTCCCACTTTTCCAGGGGCAATTCCCAGATTTCCAGGGTAATTCATCATTTTCCAGACCCAATTCCCAATTTTCCAGGGGTAATTCCCACTTTTCTGGGGGTAATTCCCAAATTTCTGGGTGTAATTCATCATTTTCCAGACCCAATTCCCACTTTTCCGGGGGAATTCCCACTTTTCTGGGGGTAATTCCCAGATTTCCAGGGGTAATTTCCAATTTTGCAGAGACAATTCCCAATTCTCCAGAGCAATTCCCATTTTTCCGGGGCTAATTCCCACTTTTCCAGGGGTAATTCCCAATTTTGCAGACAATTCCTACTTTTCCAGGGGTAATTTCCACTTTTCCGGGGCTAATTCCCACTTTTCCAGGGGAATTCCCGGTAATTCCCAATTTTGCAGAGACAATTCCTACTTTTCCAGAACAATTCCCACTTTTCCGGGGGTAATTCCCAATTTTCCATGAAAATTCCCAATTTTCCAGGGGTAATTCCCAATTTTGCAGAGACAATTCCTACTTTTCCAGAACAATTCCCACTTTTCCGGGGCTAATTCCCACTTTTCTGGGGGTAATTCAGAGATTTCCATAGGTAATTCCCACTTTTCCAGAGACAATTCCCAAATTTCCAGGGGAATTCCCACTTTTCCAGAGCAATTCCTACTTTTCTGGGGGTAATTCCTGCTTTTCCAGGGCCAATTCCCAATTTTCCAGGGGATTTCCCAATTTTCCTGAGGTAATTCCCAATTTTCTAGACCCAATTCCCACTTTTCTGGCGGTAATTCCCACTTTTCCAGGGGTAATTCCCAATTTTCCATGAAAATTCCCAATTTTCCAGGGGTAATTCCCAATTTTCCAGGAGCAATTCCCAGTTTTTCTGCTCTTCCCGGAGTTTTTTTTCAGGTTTTCCCACTTTTCCCCTTCCCAGAGCTCTTCCTCCACAGTGGCTTTCCCAATTTTTCCCAATTTTTCCCAGTTTTTCCCGCTTCTTCCCAATTTTTCCCACTTTCCCCTCCCAGTTTTTTCGCAATTTTTCCCACTTTTCCCCAATTCTTCCTGGTTTTTCCCAGTTATTTTCAATTCTTTCCCATTTTTTCTGGGTTATTTTTCCCAATTTTTCATGGTTTTTCCAATTTCCCCCCCCCCCCATTTTTTCCCAATTTTCCCAGGTTTTTTCCCCATTTTTCCCGTTTTTTTCCCAATTCTTCCTGTTTTTTCCCAGTTATTTTCAATTCTTCCCAATTTTTTCTGGTTTTTTTCCCCCAGTTTTTGGTGTTTTTTCCCAATTTTTTCCCCACATTTTCCCCAATTTTTCCCAGTTTTTCCCCCCATTTTTTTCCAAGTTTTTTTTCCCCATTTTTCCCTGTTTGTTTCCCCAATTCTTCCTGGTTTTTCCCAGTTATTTTCAATTCTTCCCAATTTTTTCTGGTTTTTTTCCCCCAGTTTTTGGTGTTTTTTCCCAATTTTTTCCCCACATTTTCCCCAATTTTTCCCAGTTTTTCCCCCCATTTTTTTCCAAGTTTTTTTTCCCCATTTTTCCCTGTTTGTTTCCCCAATTCTTCCTGGTTTTTCCCAGTTTTTCTCAATTCCTCCCAATTTTTTCTGGTTTTTTTCCCCCAGTTTTTGGTGTTTTTTCCCAATTTTTTCCCCACATTTTCCCCAATTTTTCCCAGTTTTTCCCCCAATTTTTTCCAAGTTTTTTTTCCCTGTTTTTTATTCCTCCCAATTTTTTCTGGTTTTTTTTTTTCCCCAGTTTTTGGTGGTTTTTTCGTGTTTTTCCCCCAATTTTTTCCCCAATTTTTCCCTGTTTTTTCCTCCCATTTTTCCCCAATTTTTTTCCCCGTTTTTCCCTGTTTTTTTTTCCCAATTCTTCCCGGTTTTTCCCAGTTATTTTCAATTCTTCCCAATTTTTTCTGGTTTTTTTCCCCCAATTTTTGGTGGTTTTTCCCAATTTTTTCCCCTTAATTTTTCCCCAATTTTTCCCAGTTTTTCCCCCAATTTTTTCCAAGTTTTTTTTCCCTGTTTTTTTCCCCAATTCTTCCTGGTTTTTCCCAGTTTTTCTCAATTCTTCCCCATTTTTTCTGGTTTGTTCCCCAGTTTTTTGGTGTTTTTTCCCAGTTTTTCCCCCCTATTTTTTCCCCAATTTTTCCCAGGTTTTTCCCCCCATTTTTCCCCAATTTTTTCCCCATTTTTCCCTGTTTTTTTTTCCCCAATTCTTCCCTTTTCTTCCCACTTATTTTCAATTCTTCCCAATTTTTTCTGGTTTTTTCCCCAATTTTTCGTGGTTTTTCTCAGTTTTTCCCCCCATTTTTTTCCCATTTTTTTTCCCCATTTTTCCCTGTTTTTTTCCCAATTCTTCCTGGTTTTTCCCAGTTTTTCTCAATTCTTCCCCATTTTTTCTGGTTTTTTCCCCAGTTTTTTGGTGGTTTTTCCCAGTTTTTTCCCCAATTTTTTCCCCATTTTTCCCTGTTTTTTTCCCAATTCTTCCTGGTTTTTCCCAGTTATCTTCAATTTTTCCCCATTTTTTCTGGGTTTTTTTCCCCAATTTTTTGTGTTTTTTCCAGTTTTTCCCCCAATTTTTTCCCCAATTTTTTCCCCATTTTTTCTGGTTTTTTCCCCAGTTTTTTGGTGGTTTTTCCCAGTTTTTTCCCCAATTTTTCCCAGTTTCCCCCCCCCCCATTTTTTTCCCATTTTTTTCCCCGTTTTTCCCTGTTTTTTCCCCAATTCTTCCTGGTTTTTCCCAGTTATCTTCAATTTTTCCCCATTTTTTCTGGGTTTTTTTCCCCAATTTTTTGTGTTTTTTCCAGTTTTTCCCCCAATTTTTTCCCCAATTTTTCCCAGGTTTTTCCCCCCATTTTTCCCCAATTTTTTCCCCATTTTTCCCTGTTTTTTTTTTCCCCAATTCTTCCCTTTTCTTCCCACTTATTTTCAATTCTTCCCAATTTTTTCTGGTTTTTTTCCCCCAGTTTTTGGTGGTTTTTCCTCAGTTTTTTCCCCCCATTTTTTCCAAGGTTTTTTCCCCATTTTTCCCATTTTTTTTTCCCCAATTCTTCCTGGTTTTTCCCAGTTATTTTCAATTTTTCCCAATTTTTTCTGTTTTTTTCCCCAATTTTTCGTGGTTTTTCTCAGTTTTCCCCCCCATTTTTTCCCAGGTTTTTTTTCCCCATTTTTTCCCTGTTTTTTTTTTCCCAATTCTTCCTGTTTTTTCCCAGTTTTTCTCAATTCTTCCCCATTTTTTCTGGGTTTTTTTTCCCAATTTTTGGTGGCTTTTCCCAGTTTTTCCCCACATTTTTTTTCCCAATTTTTCCCATTTTTTCCCAGGTTTTTTTTTCCCATTTTTCCCTGGATTTTTTTCCCAGTTCTTCCTGGTTTTTCCCAGTTTTTTTCAATTCTTCCCGATTTTTTCTCGTTTTCTTTTCCCCAATTTTTCGTGTTTTTTTCCCCTATTTTTCCCAGTTTTCCCCCCATTTTTTCCAAGGTTTTTCCCCCATTTTTCCCTGTTCTTTTTTCCCAATTCTTCCTGGTTTTTCTCAATTCTTCCCAATTTTTTCTGGGTTTTTTTCCGCCAGTTTTTGGTGTTTTTTCCCAATTTTTCCCAGTTTTCCCCCCCATTTTTTGCAAGGTTTTCGCCCCATTTTTTCCCTGTTTTTTTTTTCCCAATTCTTCCTGGTTTTTCTCAATTCTTCCCAATTTTTTCTGGGTTTTTTTCCGCCAGTTTTTGGTGTTTTTTCCCAATTTTTCCCAGTTTTCCCCCCCATTTTTTGCAAGGTTTTCGCCCCATTTTTTCCCTGTTTTTTTTTTCCCAATTCTTCCTGGTTTTTCTCAATTCTTCCCAATTTTTTCTGGGTTTTTTTCCGCCAGTTTTTGGTGTTTTTTCCCAATTTTTCCCAGTTTTTCCCCCCATTTTTTCCAAGGTTTTCGCCCCATTTTTTCCCTGTTTTTTTTTTCCCAATTCTTCCTGGTTTTTCCCAGTTTTTCAGTTTTTGGTGTTTTTTCCCAATTTTTCCCAGTTTTCCCCCCCATTTTTTGCAAGGTTTTCGCCCCATTTTTTACCTGTTTTTTTTTTTCCCAATTCTTCCTGGTTTTCCCCAGTTTTTCTCAGTTTTTCCCAATTTTTCCCTGGTTTTTTTGCCGACTTTTAGTGTTTTTTCCCAGTTTTTTGTGGTTTTTTCCCAGTTTTTTCCCCCTATTTTTTCCCCAATTTTTCCCCCCATTTTTCCCCAATTTCTGTCCCCATTTTTCCCTGTTTTTCCCCATTTTTCCCTGCTTGTTTCCCCAATTCTTCCTGGTTTTTCCCAGTTTTTTTCAATTCTTCCCGATTTTTTCTGGTTTTTTTTCCCCAATTTTTCGTGTTTTTTCCCAGTTTTTTCCCCTTATTTTTTCCCCAATTTTTCCCAGGTTTTCCCCCCATTTATTCCCATTTTTTTCCCATTTTTCCCAGTTTTTTTTCCCATTTTTCCCCATTTTCCCCCAATTTCCCCCCCATTTTTCCCAATTTTTTCCCCATTTTTCCCGTGTTTTCCCCGTTTTTCCTGACTTCTCCCTCTTTTCTCTCGGCAGCTGATCCAGTTCCTGATCTCCCTGGTGCAATCCAACCGCATCCTGGGCGTCAAGAGGAAAATGTGAGAGGAATTCCCAAAATCCCACCCAAAATTCGGGATCGGGGCCCCCCGGGGACCCCAAATCCCAAAAGTCCTGGGGAAGGGCTGGGCTGGGATTTGGGATCAGGAGAATTCCTTGAATTCCCAGTTTTCCTGGGGAAACGGGAGCTCCTGGCATTCCCAAAAATCCAGAAAATCCTGGAATTGTGGGCTCGGGAGTGACTGGGGTGGGATTTTGGGGTCTTCCCAGTCCAGGGTTTGCCCAAAATCCCATAAATCCATTCCCAACCCCCTCTCTCCTGGAAAAAAAACCTGGAAAAAATGGAAAAAATCCCTGGAAAAACTCTGGGGAAAAAAAGGAAAAAAACCAGAAAATCCTGGGGGAAAAATCTGGAAAAATTCTGGAAAACCCCTGGGGAAAAAATCTGGAAAAATCCTGGAAAAACCCTGGGAAAAACCCTGGGAAAACCCCGGAAAAAATCCTGGAAAAACATGAAAAAACCCTGGGAAAAAAAACTGAAAAAATGTTTTTCCTGGGGTTTTTTTTGGGATTTGGGGATCCCAGAGCTGATCCCGGTGCTGACCCCAGTATTTTTCCCAGGGTTTTTTTGGGGGATTTGGGATTTGGGGTATCCCGGAGCTGATCCTGGTGCTGATCCCAGTGGTTTTGCCAGGGGTTTTTTTTGGGATTTGGGGTATCCCGGTGTTTTTCCCGGTTTGTTTTTTCGGGGTTTTGGGGTATCCCAGAGCTGATCCTGGTGTTTTTTCCCGGTGTTTTTTTGGGATTTGGGGCTGATCCTGGTGTTTTTCCCGGTGTTTTTATGGGATCTGGGGCTGACCCCGGTGTTTTTCCTGGTGTTATGTGTTTGGGGTGTCCTGGCACTGATCCCGGTGTTTTTCCCAGTGTTTATTTGGGATTTGGGGCTGACCCCAGTGTTTTTCCCGGTGTTTATTTGGGATCTGGGGCTGACCCCGGTGTTTTTCCCGGTGTTTATTTGGGATCTGGGGCTGACCCCGGTGTTTTTCCCGGTGTTTTTTGGGATTTGGGGTATCCCAGAGCTGATCCCGGAGCTGATCTCGTCCTGGTTTTTTGGGGGGATTTGGGGTATCCCGGCGCTGACCCCGCTGTTTTTCCCAGTGTTTATTTGGGATTTGGGGCTGACCCCGGTGTTTTTCCCGGTGTTTATTTGGGATCTGGGGTATCCCGGTGCTGACCCCGGTGTTTTTCCTGGGTGTTTTTTGGGATTTGGGGTATCCCAGAGCTGATCCCGGTGTTTTTCCTGGGGTTTTTTTTGGGATTTGGGGATCCCAGAGCTGATCCCGGTGCTGACCCCAGTATTTTTCCCAGGGTTTTTTTGGGGGATTTGGGATTTGGGGTATCCCGGAGCTGATCCTGGTGCTGATCCCAGTGGTTTTGCCAGGGGTTTTTTTTGGGACAGCCCAGCTTTTCCTGGGAATTCTGGGCTCCTGGCCCTGCTTTTCCTGGCAATTCCAGACTCCTGACCCTGCTTTTCCTGGGAATTCCGGGCTCTCCCTGGGCCCAGCTTTTCCCAGGAATTTTTTGTTCCCACCCCTGCTTTTCCCTCTGGAATTCCAGGCTCTCCCTGGGCCCAGCTTTTCCTGGGAATTTCCTGCTCCCATCCCTGCTTTTCCTTCTGGAATTCCAGGCTCTGCCCCTCCCTTTCCCTCTGGAATTCCAGGCTCCCAGCCCTGCTTTTTCTGGGAATTTTTGGCTCCTGACCCTGCTTTTCCCTCTGGAGTTCCAGACTCTCCCTGGGCCCTGCTTTTCCCAGGAATTTCATGCTCCCATCCCTGCTTTTCCCTCTGGAATTTTGGTCTCTCCCATGCCGGAATTCCAGGCTCTCCCTGGGCCCTGTTTTTCCTGGGAATTTTGTGCTCCTGACCCTGCCTTTCCCTGTGGAATTCTGGTCTCCTGGCCCTGCTTTTCCCGGGAATTTCATGCTCCCATCCCTGCTTTTCCCTCTGGAATTTTGGTCTCTCCCATGCTGGGATTCCGGGCTCTCCCTGGGCCCTGCTTTTCCTGGGAATTTTGAGCTCACATCCCTCCTTTTCCCTCTGGAATTTTGTGCTCCCAGCACTGCTTTTCCTGGGAATTTCGTGCTCCTGGCCCTGCTTTTCCTGGCAATTCCAGGCTCTCCCTGGGCCCAGCTTTTCCTGGGAATTTTTGGATCCCATCCTTGCTTTTCCCTCTGGAATTCTGCGCTCTGTCCCTCCTTTTCCCTCTGGAATTTTGTGCTCCCAGCACTGCTTTTCCTGGGAATTTCGTGCTCCTGGCCCTGCTTTTCCTGGGAATTTCGTGCTCCCACCCCTGCCTTTTCCTGGGAATTCCGGACTCCTGGCCCTGCTTTTCCCGGGAATTCCGTGCTCCCCCCCCACCTTTCCCCCTGGAATTCCGGTAACCCCGGTGTGTCCCGCAGGCGGCGGCGCCGGCGCTGTCGGGCCCGGCGCTGTTCCCGGCGGATCCCGGCGCCGCCTCCGGCCCCATCATCTCGGACGTCACCGAGCTGAACCCCGGCAGCCCCCGCGGCTCGCCCGCGCGGAGCCGCGACGGAAGGTGGGGACATTCCCGGGAAATGTTCCCTGGGAATGGGGTCCTGAAATCCCTGGGAATGGGGGAGGGCAGGTGGGGGGCAATCCTGGAAATTCCTGGGAATGGGGTACCAAAATCCCTGGGAATGGGGTACTGAAAATCCCTGGGAATTGGATCCTGAAATCCCTGGGAATGGGGCCCCGAAATTCCCTGAGAGTGGGGTCCTGAAAATCCCTGGGAATGGGGGAGAGAGCCTGGACGGCAGGTGGGGGCAATCCCAAAAATCCCTGGGAATGGGGTCCTGAAATCCTCTGGGAATGGGAGTCCTGAAATTCCCTGGGAATGGGGGAGGGCAGGTGGGGGAAATTCCCAAAATCCCTGGGAATGGGGTCCCGAAATTCTGTGGGAATGGAGGAAGGCAGGTGGGAGAGAATCCTGAAAATTTCCTGGGAATGGGGTCCCGAAATCCCCTGGGAATGGGGGACGGCAGGTGGGAAAGGATTCCCAAAAAATCCCTGGGAATGGCATCCTGAAATTCCCTGGGAATGGGGTCTCAAAAATCCCTGGGAATGGGGGAGAGGGAGCCTGGACAGCAGGCGGGGACAATCCTGGAAAATTCCAGGGAATGGGATCCCGAATATCCCTGGGAATGGGGGAAGTGGTCTGGATTTTTCCTGTTCCCCATTTCCATTGTTCATTCCCATTTCCCATTCCTGTTCCCATTTCCAATTTTCCCCATTCCCATTTCCCATTCCCCATTCCCCCATTCCCATTTTCCCCATTCCCAATTCCCATTCCCATTTTTCCCCATTCCCATTTCCCATTTTTTTCCATTTTTTCCCATTCCCCATTCCCATTTTCCCATTTCTATTCCCCATTCCCATTTTTCCCATTTTCCCCATTCCCATTCTTCCCTTTCCCATTCCCATTTATCCCCATTCCCATTTTCCCCATCATTCCCATTTTCCCCATTCCGTATTTTCATTATTCCCATTTTTCCCATTCCCATTATTCCCATTTTTCCCCATCATTCCCATTCCCATTTTCCCCATTCCCATCATTCCCATTTTTCCCATTTGCCCCATTCCTATCATTCCCATTTTTCCCCATTCCCATTTTCCCCATCATTCCCATTTTCTCATTCCCATAATTCCCATTATTCCCATTTTTCCCTATTCTCATTATTCCCATTTTTCCCATTCCCATTATTCCCATTTTTCCCCATCATTCCCATTCCCATTTTCCCCATTCCCATCATTCCCATTTTTCCCCCCCGTTCCCACCATTCCCGTTTTTCCCGCCGTTTCCCAAACCCCAGGAGCAGCCCGGCGATCCGGATCAAGGAGGAGCCCCCCAGCCCCACGCGGAGCCCGCCGGCCGAGGAGCCCCGCAGCGCCGGCACTCCCGGCAATCCCGGCAATCCCGGCAATCCCGGCACTCCCGGCACTCCCGGCAATCCCGGCAATCCCGGCAATGCCGAGACGCCCCTGTCCCCCTCCACCTTCATCGACTCCATCCTGCGGGAGAGCGACTCCGGAGCCGCTCCCGGGAATCCCCAGTCCCAGGAAAAGTGCCTGAGCGTCGCCTGCCTTGACAAGTGAGCGCCGCATTCCCGGGATTCCCAAAATTCCCGGAATTCCCAGCTCGGGAAAAGAGGCCCACTTTCCCAGAATTCCCATTTCCGGTTTACTGATCCCGATTTCCTGTCCCCGATCCCGGTTTCCCAGTCCCCGTTTCCCGTTCCCATTCCCATTATTCCCAGGGTTTTCCTCACCCCATTCCTGTTATTCCCGGGGTTTTTCCTCACCCCCATTCCCGTTATTCCCGGGTTTTCCTCGCCCCATTCCCGTTATTCCCGCTGTATTCCCTTGACCCCGTTCGTTCCCGGTGCGTTCCCGTTGTTCATTCCCGGTGTTCATTCCCGGTGTTCATTCCTGGTGTTTGTCATTCCCGGTGTTGTTCATCATTCCCGTTATTCCCGGTGGTGTTGTTCATTCCCGGTGTTGTTCATTCCCGTTTTTCATCATTCCCGGTGTTCATTCCCATTGTTGTTCATCATTCCCAGTGTTCATTCATTCCCGGTGTTCCTTCAACACCATTCCCATCATTCCCGGTGTTGTTCGTCATTCCGGCTGTTGTTGATCATTCCCGGTGTTTATTCTGGGTGTTGTTGATCAGTCATTCCTGGTGTTCATTCCCAGCGTTGATCATTCCCGGTGTTGTTCATTCCCGGTGGTGTTGACCATTCCCGGTGTTGTTGTTGACCATTCCCGGTGTTATTCCCAGTGCTATTGTTGACCGTTCCCGGTGTTGTTTATTCCGGGTGTCGTTGCTGACCATTCCCAGTGTTTATTCCCATTATTCCCAGTGTTCATTCCCGCTGTTGTTGACCATTCCCGGTGTTGTTGACCATTCCCAGTGTCCATTCCCGGTGTTGACCATTCCCGGTGTTTATTCCCGTTATTCCCAGTGTTCACTCCCGATGTTGTTGTTGACTGTTCCGGGTGTTTATTCCCATTGTTGCTGTTGCTCATTCCCGGTGTTGCTGATCGATCATTCCGAGTGTTATTGATCGTTCCCGTTGTTCATTCCCGGTGTTGCTGTTGACCGTTCCCAGTGTTTATTCCCATTATTCCCAGTGTTCATTCCCGGTGTTGACCATTCCCAGTGTTGTTGACTGTTCCCGATGCCGTTGAGGGACCGTTCCTGGTGCTCATTCCCAGTGTTTTTCTCTGTTCCCAGTGTGCATTCCCGGTGTTTTTTCCTCCGTTCCTGGTGTTCATTCCCAGTGTTCTCTGTTCCCGGTGTTCATTCCCGGTGTTTCCTCTCCATTCCCAGTGTTGTTGTTTACCATTCCTGGTGTTTTTTCTCCATTCCAGGTGTTCATTCCCGGTGTTTCTCTCTCCTGGTTCCCGGTGTTCTCATTTACCATTCCCAGTGTTGTTGTTTACCATTCCCAGTGTTTCTCTTCCGGTTCCCGTTATTCATTCCCGGTGTTTTCTCTCCTGGTTCCCGGTGTTCCCATTGCTCATTCCCGGTGTTGTTTCTCTCTCTCCATTCCCGGTTCCCGGTGTTATTTACCACCATTCCCGGTGTTGTTTCTCTCTCTCCGTTCCCGGTTCCGGGTGTTGTTCCTGGTGTTTTCTCTCTCTCCATTCCCAGTTCCGGCTGTTGTTATTTACCATTCCCGGTGTTCCCGTTGCTCATTCCTGGTGTTGTTTCTCTCTCTCTTTCTTCCCGGTTCCGGGTGTTCCCATTGTTCATTCCCGGTGTTGTTTCTCTCTCTCCGTTCCCGGTTCCGGCTGTTGTTATTTACCATTCCCGGTGTTCCCGTTGCTCATTCCCGGTGTTGTTTCTCTCTCTCTCTCTCTCTCTCTCCGTTCCCGGTTCCGGGTGTTATTTACCACCATTCCCGGTGTTGTTTCTCTCTCTCTTTCTTCCCGGTTCCGGGTGTTCCCATTGTTCATTCCCGGTGTTGTTTCTCTCTCTCCGTTCCCGGTTCCGGCTGTTGTTATTTACCACCATTCCCGGTGTTCCCGTTGCTCATTCCCAGTGTTGTTTCTCTCTCTCTCTCCCCGTTCCGGTTCCGGGTGTTGTTATTTACCACCATTCCCGGTGTTGTTTCTCTCTCTCCATTCCCAGTTCCGGGTGTTCTCATTTACCATTCCCGGTGTTCCCATTGCTCATTCCCGGTGTTGTTTCTCTCTCTCTCTCTCTGTTCCCGGTTCCGGGTGTTGTTACTTACCACCATTCCGGGTGTTGTTTCTCTCTCTCTCTCTCTCTCTCTCCATTCCTGGTTCCTGGTGTTGTTCCCGGTGTTTCTCTCTCCCGGTTCCCGGTGTTATTGACCACCATTCCCGGTGTTGTTTCTCTCTCCGTTCCCGGTTCCGGGTGTTTGTTCCCATTTACCATTCCCGGTGTTGGATGAACCCGTCCCTGCTCGATGTGAGACAGCATTCCCAAAAATCCCAAAAATAACCCAATTCCCAGGAAGAATCCTGGGAAAAATCCCAGAAATTCCCAAAAATTCCAACCGGGAACGCTCAGAATCCCCAGTTCCCACTGGGAATTCCCAGGACAAACCCAGCCCTGCTCAACCCCCGGAACCCCCAGAATTCCCAAAATTCCCCAAAATGCAGGAATTCCCAAAAATTTCAACTGGGAATTCCCAAAATCCCCAATGCCCACTGGGAATTCCCGGGATCCCAGCCCATTCCCAGTGGGAATTTCCATTCTCAGGGCGGGTTTTTCCCAGGAATTCCCTGAGTCAGGACAGGTTTTTCCCGGGAATTCCGGCATTCCCATTCTCAGGACAGATATTTCCTGGGAATTCCCTGCCTGGGGACAGGATTTTTCCCAGGAATTCCCTGACTCAGGACAGATTTTTCCCAGGAATTCCGGCATTTCCAAGCTCAGAGCAAATTTTTCCTGGGAATTCCCTGGCTCAGGGCAGGATTTTCCCAGGAATTCCTGTTCTCAGGATAGATTTTTCCTGGGAATTCTGGAATTTGCCTTCTCAGGGAGGGATTTTCCCAGGAATTCCCATTCTCAGGGTGGGATTTTCCTGGGAATTCCATCATTCCCGTTTTCGGTGCGGGATTTTCCCAGGAATTCCCATTCCCAGGGTGGAATTTTCCCGGGAATTCCCATTCCCAGGGCAGGTTTTTCCCCGGAATTCCCATTCCCAGGGTGGGATTGTCCCGGGAATTCCCTGATTCCCGTTCTCGGTGCGGGGTTTCCCGGGAATCCCCGGGAATCGCGGTGCCATTCCCGGTTTTCCCGCAGCTCTTCAGCCCGTCGGTGGCGGTGCCGGACGTGACCCTGCCCGACCTGGACAGCAGCCTGGCCAGCGTGAGCCCCATCCCGGCAATTCCCGGAATTCCGGCAATTCCGGGGACTCCCGGCCCCCAAAAGGGCAAATCCCAAATTTCCCACCCCCTGGGATTCCCATTCCCGCCCCCACGGCCCGCAATTCCCACGGAAAATCCCGGATTTTGGGGAATTCTGTGGAAAATTCCCATTTGGGATCCCAGCTGGGCCCGGGGGGTTTCCTGGGAAAAGCCAAAATGGGAATTTTTGGGATGGGGGGGAAAAGTGGGAATGTCCCGGGAGGGCCAAAATCCTGGGATTTGGGGGTTTTTGGGAATATCCCAGGGGATTCCTGTGGGGTGGGAACGGGGCAGGTTCCCGGGGTGGGATTTTGGGGATATTCTGGGGGGTTTCGGGATATTCCATGGGGTGGGAGTGGTTTTTGGGATATTGGGATCGGGATCGGGATCGGGATTGGGATTGGGATTGGGATCAGGAGCTGGATCAGGATTGGGATTGGGATCAGGATTGGAATCAGGATCAGGATTGGGATCAGGAGCTGGATTGAGATTGGGATTGGGGCTGGGATTGGGATTGGGATCAGGATCAGAGCTGGGATTGGGATTGGGATTGGGTTCAGCATCAGGGCTGGGAATTGGATTGGGGCTACGATTGGGATTGGGATTGGGATGAGGATTGGGATCAGGGATTGGGATTGGGATTGGGGTTGGGATCAGGAACAGGACTGGGATTGGGGCTGGAATTGGGATCCAGGATCAGGACTGGGATCAGGGATTGGGATCAGGATTAGGATCAGAGCTGGGAGTGGGATTGGGGCCAGGGTCAGGATGAGGGCTGGGATTGGGATTGGGATTGGGATTGGGATCAGGGATTGGGATTTGGATTGGGGCCAGGGTGAGGATGAGGGCTGGGATTGGGATTGGGATCAGGACTGGGATCGGGGCTGGGATTGGGATTGGGGCCAGGGTGAGGATGAGGGCTGGGATTCCCACTGGGAATTCCCAAAATCCCAGCCCATTCCCAGGATAAACCCAGCCCTGCTCGACGTGAGACACCCGGCGTGCCCGGAAACACCCCCAAAAAAACCGGGAAAAATCCCACAATTCCCAAAAATTCCAACCGGGAACGCCCAGAACCCCCAGTGCCCAAAATCCAAATTTCCCACTGGGAATTCCCAAAATCCCAGCCCATTCCCAGGATAAACCCAGCCCTGCTCGACGTGAGACACCCGGCGTGCCCGGAAACACCCCCAAAAAAACCGGGAAAAATCCCACAATTCCCAAAAATTCCAACCGGGAACGCCCAGAACCCCCAGTGCCCAAAATCCAAATTTCCCACTGGGAATTCCCAAAATCCCAGCCCATTCCCAGGATAAACCCAGCCCTGCTCGACGTGAGACACCCGGCGTGCCCGGAAACACCCCCAAAAAAACCGGGAAAAATCCCACAATTCCCAAAAATTCCAACCGGGAACGCCCAGAACCCCCAGTGCCCAAAATCCCCAGTGCCCAGTGGGAATTCCCAAAATCCCAGCCCATTCCCAGTGGGAATTCCCAGGATAAATCTGTCCCTGTTCAACGTGAGCCTGAAATTCCCAAAATTCCCAAAAATATCCAAAAATTCCCAGAAAATATACAGCAAAAAATCCCAGAAATTCCCAAAAATTCCAACTGGGAATTCCCAAAACCCTCAGTGCCCAAAATCTCCAGTGCCCACTGGGAATTCCCAAAATCCCAGCCCATTCCCAGTGGGAATTCCCAGATAAACCCGTCCCTGCTCAATGTGAGACACCACGCCCAAAAATACCAAAACCACCGGAATTCCTGGGGAAAAAAATACTGGGAATTCCCAAAAAATTCCAACTGGGAATTCCCAAAACCCCCAGTGCCCAAAATCCGCAAAGCCCAGTGGGAATTCCCAGGATAAATCTGTCCCTGTTCAACGTGAGCCTGAAATTCCCAAAATTCCCAAAAATATCCAAAAATTCCCAGAAAAAAACCCAGAAAAAATACCACAAAAAAAATCACAGAAATTCCCAAAAATTCCAACTGGGAATTCCCAAAATCCCCAGTGCCCACTGGGAATTCCCAGGATAAACCCGTCCCTGTTCGACGTGAGCCTGAAATTCCCAAAATTCCCAGAAAAAATGTTGGAAAAACATGCCAGAATTCCCAAAAAAAATCCAACTGGGAACTCCCAAAATCCCCAGTTCCCACTGGGAATTCCCAAAATCCCAGCCCGTTCCCAGTGGGAATTTCCAGGATAAACCCATCTCTGTCGACGTGAGCCTGAAATTCCCAAAAATCCAAAAATTCACAGAAAAAATCCCGTAAAAAATCCTGGGAATTCCCAAAAAATTTCAAGTGGGAATTCCCAAAATCCCCAGTGCCCACTGGGAATTCCTGGGATCCCAGCCCATTCCCGGTGGGAATTCCCATTCTCAGGACAGATTTTTCCTGGGAATTCCCTGCCTGGGGACAGGATTTTTCCCAGGAATTCCCTGACTCAGGACAGATTTTTCCCAGGAATTCCGGCATTTCCAAGCTCAGGGCAAATTTTTCCTGGGAATTCCCATTCTCAGGGCAGGATTTTCCCAGGAATTCCTGTTCTCAGGATAGATTTTTCCTGGGAATTCTGGAATTTGCCTTCTCAGGGAGGGATTTTCCCAGGAATTCCCATTCCCAGGGTGGGATTTTCCCAGGAATTCCCATTCCCAGGGTGGGATTTTCCCAGGAATTCCCATTCCCAGGGTGGGATTTTCCCGGGAATTCCCTGATTCCCGTTCTCGGTGCGGGGTTTCCCGGGAATCCCCGGGAATCGCGGTGCCATTCCCGGTTTTCCCGCAGCTCTTCAGCCCGTCGGTGGCGGTGCCGGACGTGACCCTGCCCGACCTGGACAGCAGCCTGGCCAGCGTGAGCCCCATCCCGGCAATTCCCGGAATTCCGGCAATTCCGGGGACTCCCGGCCCCCAAAAGGGCAAATCCCAAATTTCCCACCCCCTGGGATTCCCATTCCCGCCCCCACGGCCCGGAATTCCCACGGAAAATCCCGGATTTTGGGGAATTCTGTGGAAAATTCCCATTTGGGATCCCAGCTGGGCCCGGGGGGTTTCCTGGGAAAAGCCAAAATGGGAATTTTTGGGATGGGGGGGAAAAGTGGGAATGTCCCGGGAGGGCCAAAATCCTGGGATTTGGGGGTTTTTGGGAATATCCCAGGGGATTCCTGTGGGGTGGGAACGGGGCAGGTTCCTGGGGTGGGATTCTTGGGGATATTCCGGGGGGTTTCGGGATATTCCATGGGGCGGGAGTGGTTTTTGGGATATTGGGATCGGGATCGGGATCGGGATTGGGATTGGGATTGGGATCAGGAGCTGGATCAGGATTGGGATTGGGATCAGGATTGGAATCAGGATCAGGATTGGGATCAGGAGCTGGATTGAGTTTTTTGGGATATTGGGATCGGGATTGGGATTGGGATTGGGATTGGGATTGGGATTGGGATCAGGAGCTGGATCAGGATTGGGATTGGGATCAGGATTGGAATCAGGATCAGGATTGGGATCAGGAGCTGGATTGAGATTGGGATTGGGGCTGGGATTGGGATTGGGATCAGGATCAGAGCTGGGATTGGGATTGGGATTGGGTTCAGCATCAGGGCTGGGAATTGGATTGGGGCTACGATTGGGATTGGGATTGGGATGAGGATTGGGATCAGTATCAGGATTGGGATTGGGATTGGGATCAGGAACAGGACTGGGATTGGGGCTGGAATTGGGATCCAGGATCAGGACTGGGATCAGGGATTGGGATCAGGATTAGGATCAGAGCTGGGAGTGGGATTGGGGCCAGGGTCAGGATGAGGGCTGGGATTGGGATTGGGATTGGGATTGGGATCAGGGATTGGGATTTGGATTGGGGCCAGGGTGAGGATGAGGGCTGGGATTGGAATCAGGGATTGGGATTGGGATCAGGGATCAGGGCTGGGATCAGAATTGGGGCTGGGATTGGGATGAGGATTTGGATCGGGATCAGGGATTGGGATTGGGGTTGGGATCAGGTTGGGGGTGGGATTAGGATTGGGATCAGGACTGGGATCGGGGCTGGGATTGGGATTGGGGCCAGGGTGAGGATGAGGGCTGGGATTGGGATCCACATTGGGATTGGGACTGGGATCAGGATTGGGATCAGAGCTGGGATTGGGATTGAGGCTGCAGTTGGGATCAGGATTGGGACTGGGATTGGGAATGGAATTGGGATTGGTGTCAGGGTTGGATTAGGATCAGTGCTGGGATTGGGATTAGGATCAGTGCTGGGATTGGGATTGGGATCAGGACTGGGATCAGGGATTGGGGTTGGGATTGAGTTCGGGATCAGGGCTGGGATCAGAGCTGGGATTGGGATCGGGATCGGTATCAGGACTGGGGTTGGGATCAGGGATTGGGGTTGTGATTGGGATCAAGGCTGGGATCCGGATTGGGGCGGGATTGGGATCAGGATTGGGATTAGTGTCAGGGGGATTGAGGCTGCAGTTGGGATCAGGATTGGGACTGGGATTGGGATTGGGATTGGTGTCAGGGTTGGGTTAGGATCAGTGCTGGGATTGGGATTAGGATCAGTGCTGGGATTGGGATTGGGATCAGGACTGGGATCAGGGATTGGGGTTGGGATTGAGTTCGGGATCAGGGCTGGGATCAGAGCTGGGATTGGGATCGGGATCGGTATCAGGACTGGGGTTGGGATCAGGGATTGGGGTTGTGATTGGGATCAAGGCTGGGATCCGGATTGGGGCGGGATTGGGATCAGGATTGGGATTAGTGTCAGGGTTGGGATCAGTGCTGGGATTGGGATCAGTGCTGGGATTGGGATCAGTGCTGGGATTGGAATCAGGATCAGGATTGGGGTTGGGATCAGGTTTGGGGCTGGGTTTGGGGCCAGGATCAGGATTGGGATTGGGCTGGGATCGGGATCAGGTTTGGAATTGAGATTAGGGCCGGGATCACAGCTGAGATTGGGATTGGGATCACGGCCAGGATCAGGGCTGGGATTGGGATCCAGGATCAGGATTGGGATCAGGGCTGGGATTGGGATCCAGGATCAGGATTGGGGCTGGGATTGGGATCGGGATCAGGGATTTGGATTGGGATCAGGTCAGGATCAGGGCTGGAATTGGGATTGGGCTCAGGGCTGGGAATTGGATTGGGACTGGGATTGGGATCAGGATCAGGGATTGGGATGAGATTGGGATCAGGGCTGGGATTGGGATCCAGGATCAGGATTGGGATCAGGGCTGGGATTGGGATCGGGATCAGGGATTTGGATTGGGATCAGGGTTGGGATTGGGATTCAGGATCAGGATTGGGATTCAGGATCTGGATTGGGATCAGGGCTGGGATTGGGATTCAGGATCAGGATTGGGATCTGGATTGGGATCAGGGCTGGGATTGGGATCGGGATCAGGGTCAGGACTGGGATCGGGATCGGGATCAGGGCTGGGATTGGGATCGGGATCAGGGTCAGGACTGGGATCGGGATCGGGGCCGGGATCCTCCCCAGGCCCATTCCCAGCTGTCCCTGGATCATGGCACCAGCTCCGCCCCATTCCGGGATTTCCCTCCCCGGGATCATTTCTGGGAACGTTTGGGATGAGCAGGGCGGGGCTTGGGATCCCTCTAAAACCCCAAAAACCTCGGAAGGAGCGGGAATCATTCCCGGAATTCCGGCAGATCCAGGATCTCCTCTCGAACCAGGAGCAGCAGAAACCGACGGAGACCGAGCCCGGCGCGGGGGACTCCGGTATCCCCAGGGGATTTGGGGGAATTTTGGGATTTTGGTATTTTTGTGGTATTTGGGGTATTTGGGAATGGGGGACTCCGGTATCCCGAGGGGATTTGGGGGAATTTGGGATTTTTGGGGTATTTGGGAATGAGGGACTCCGGTATCCCAGAGGGGAATTTGGGGGATTCTGGGATTTTTGGGGTATTTGGGGTATTTGGGAATGGGGGACTCCGGTATCCCGAGGGGGATTTGGGGGAATTGGGATTTGTGGGGATTTTTGGGGTATTTGGGAATGGGGGCCTCCGGTATCCCGAGGGGATTTGGGGGAATTTCGGATTTGTGGGGATTTTTGGGGAATTTGGGAATGGGGGACTCCGGTATCCCCAGGGGATTTGGGGGAATTTCGGATTTGTGGGGATTTTTGGGGAATTTGGGAATGGGGGACTCCGGTATCCCCAGGGGATTTGGGGGAATTTCGGATTTGTGGGGATTTTTGGGGAATTTGGGAATGGGGGACTCCGGTATCCCCAGGGGATTTGGGGGAATTTCGGATTTGTGGGGATTTTTGGGGAATTTGGGAATGGGGGACTCCGGTATCCCCAGGGGATTTGGGGGAATTTCGGATTTGTGGGGATTTTTGGGGTATTCGGGAATGGGGGACTTGGGTATTCCATGGGAATTTTGGGATATTTGGGAATGAGGGACTCCGGTATCCCAGAGGGGATTTTGGGGGATTTTGGGAATTTTGGGATTTTTGGGGTATTTGGGAATGAGGGACTCCGGTATCCCAGAGGGGATTTTGGGGGATTTTGGGAATTTTGGGATTTTTGGGGTATTTGGGAATGAGGGACTCCGGTATGCCGAGGCGATTTGGGGGAATTTGGGGAATTTTGGGAATTTTGGGGTATTTGGGAATGGGGGACTCCGGTATCCCAGAGGGGATTTTGGGATTTTTTTTTTTCTTTTGGGGCATTCCCTGCTGTCCATCCCAAACATTCCCTGCTGTCCCCTGCACTGCCCCGCCCCTGTTCCTGGTGGATTATCCCAATCCCACAATCCCAACCCCACAATCCCAAATTCACAATCCCAATCCCAAATTCCCGTTTTTCCAGGGAAGCAGCTGGTGCCCTGCACGGTGCATGATCCCAATCCCACATTCCCAATCCCACAATCCCAAATTTCCAATCTCATTTTTCCCAATCCCAAATCCCAAATTCCCGTTTTTCCAGGGAAGCAGCTGGTGCCCTGCACGGTGCAGCCGCTGCTCCTGGTGGATTATCCCAATCCCACAATCCCAAATTCCCAATCCCACATTCCCAATTTCCCACATTCCCGTTTTCCAGGGAAGCAGCTGGTGCCCTGCACAGTGCATGATCCCAATTCCACATTCCCAATCCCAAATTTCCAATCCCATTTTCCCAACCCCAAATTCTCGTTTTTCCAGGGAAGCAGCTCGTTCCCTGCACGGTGCAGCCGCTGTTCCTGGTGGATGATCCCAATCCCACATTCCCAAATCCCACATTCCCGTTTTTCCAGGGAAGCAGCTGGTTCCCTGCACGGTGCAGCCCCTGTTCCTGGTGGATTATCCCAATCCCAAATCCCAATTTCCCATTTTTCCAGGGAAGCAGCTCGTTCCCTGCACGGTGCAGCCCCTGTTCCTGGTGGATTATCCCAATCCCACAATCCCAAATTCCCAATCCCACATTCCCAATTTCCCACATTCCCGTTTTCCAGGGAAGCAGCTGGTGCCCTGCACAGTGCATGATCCCAATTCCACATTCCCAATCCCAAATTTCCAATCCCATTTTCCCAACCCCAAATTCTCGTTTTTCCAGGGAAGCAGCTCGTTCCCTGCAAAGTCCAGCCGCTGTTCCTGGTGGACTCCAGCGCCGTGGACGTGGCGTCCGGGGACCTTCCCATCTTCTTCGAGCTGGGCGAGGGGCCGGGCTTCCCGGACGGGGACGAGTACCCCGAGGAGTACCCCGAGGAGCACCCCCGGGAGCACCCCCGGGAGCACCCCCGGGACCCCGCGCTGCTGCCGCGGCCGCCCAAGGACCCGGCCGTGTCCTAAAACCGGGACCGGGACAGGGACAGGGACACGATCCCAAAAAACTGGGGGGCCCAAAAAACCAGGGTCCCAAAAAACAGGGATCCCAAAAAACCAGGGATCCCAAAACACCAGGATCCCAAAACACCAGGGTCCCAAAAAACCAGGGGTCCCAAAACACCAGGGATCCTAAAACCAGGGATCCCAAAAAAACAGGGATCCCAAAACACCAGGGATCCCAAAAACCCACGGATGGGGAAAGGGAAGGAAGCCCCAGAGACTCGTCCTGCTTCTCGCACACAGCCCGGAGCCGCCGCTCCCTCGGAGCGCCCCGGGGGATCCCGGGAATTCCGGGGGATCCCAGAGGATCCTGGCACATCCTGGACCATCCCAGAGGATCCTGGGGGATCCTGAATCGTCCCGGGGGATCCTAAATCATCCTGGAGCATCCCAGGGGATTCTGGAGGATCCTGAACCATCCCAGGGAATCCTGGAGCATCCCAGAGGATCCTGGGGGATCCTGAATCGTCCCGGGGGATCCTAAATCATCCTGGAGCATCCCAGGGGATTCTGGAGGATCCTGAACCATCCCAGGGAATCCTGGAGCATCCCAGAGGATCCTGGGGGATCCTGAATCATCCTGGAGGATCCTAAATCGTCCTGGAGAATCCCAGAATTCTGGAGGATCCTGAATCACCCTGGAGAATCCTGGGGGATCCTAAATCATCCTGGAGAATCCTAAATCATCCTGGAGAATCCCAGAGCGTCCTGAGGAATCCTGGAGGATCCCAAATCATCCCGAGGAGTCCTGGAGGATCCCAAATCATCCCGAGGAGTCCTGGAGGATCCTAAATCATCCTGGAGCATCCCAGGGAATCCCGGAGCATCCCGGGAATCCTGGAGGATCCCGGAGAATTCCGGGAAATCCCAGAGGATCCTGGACCATCCCAGGGAATCCTGGAGCATCCCGGAGAATTCCGGAGGATCCCAGATCATCCCAGGAAATCACAGAGGATCCCAGAAAATCGTGGAGCATCAGAAGGGATCCCAGAAGATCCCAGAAAATCGTGGAGCATCCTGGTGGATCCCAAATCATCCTGAGGAATCCTGGAGCATTCCAGGAGATCCCAAAGTATCCCGGAGGATCCCAGGGATCCGTGGGATCCAGAGAGTGACGGAGCCCCGGGATCTGGGCGAGCAGAAATCCAGGGATCCCCAAATCCCGGAATATCCCAGGAAAAAACTGCACCGAAAATGCACGGAATGCCCCAGGACCCCAAAATCCTGTGGGACCCCAAAATCTTGGGGAAATCTTGAATGCCTCAGGATCCCAAAATCCAGCAGATCCCAAAATCCCAGGGAAACTAGGAATGCCCCAGGATCCCAAAATCCTGTGGGACCCCAAAATCCTGGAGAAACCTGGAATGCCCCAGGACCCCAAAATCCAGCAGATCCTAAAATCCTGGAAATTCCACCCAACCCCAAAGCCTGGCAGTGCCTGAACCCCACAGGACCCCAAAATCCAGCGGTGCCTCGAATCCCACGGGACCCTAAAATCCTGTGGGAAACCCCAAAATCCAGTGGCATCCTAAAATCCCATAGGACCCCAAAACCTTGCGGTGGCACCAGATTTCCAAAGCTGTGGGAACCCCAAAATTTAGTGGGACCCCCAAAACCTGGCAGTGCCCCAAATCCCACGGGACCCTAAAATGAAATGGGACCCTAAAATCCAATGGGACCCCATAACCGCCACGAGACCCCCAAAGTTAGGGAAACCCCAAAATCCTGTGGGAAACCCCAAAATTTAGTGGGACTCCCCAAAACCTGGCAGTGTCCAAACACGACAGGACCGTAAAATCCAATGGGACCCCATAACCGCCACGAGACCCCCAAAGTTAGGGAAACCCCAAAATCCTCTGACATCCTAAAACCTGGCAGTGCCCAAACATGACAGGACCCTAAAATCCCACGGGACCCTAAAATCCAATGGGATCCCAAAATCCAATGGGATCACAAAACCTGGCAGTGCCACGAGACCCCCAAAGTTAGGGAAACCCCAAAATCCTGTGGGATCCCAAAACCTGGCAGTGCCCAAATCCCACAGGACCCTAAAAGCCTGTGGGAAACCCCAAAATCCAGTGGGATCCCAAAACCTGGCAGTGCCTAAACATGACAGGACCCTAAAATCCAATGGGACCCCAAAATCCAGTGGGACCCCAAAACCTGGCCATGCCCTAAGCCCACGGGACCCCAAAATCCAGTGGGACCCCAAAACCTGGCCATGCCCAAATCCCACGGGACCCCAAAATCCAGTGGGACCCCAAAATGTCGCGCTGCCACAAGACCCCCAGAGCCAGGGGAACCCCAAAATCCTGTGGGAAACCCCAAAATTTAGTGGGACTCCCCAAAACCTGGCAGTGTCCAAACACGACAGGACCGTAAAATCCAATGGGATCCCAAAATCCAATGGGATCACAAAACCTGGCAGTGCCACGAGACCCCCAAAGTTAGGGAAACCCCAAAATCCTGTGGGATCCCAAAACCTGGCAGTGCCCAAATCCCACAGGACCCTAAAATCCAGTGGGACCCCAAAATCCCACAGGACCCCAAAACCTGGCAGTGCCCAAACATGACAGGACCCTAAAATCCAATGGGATCCCAAAATCCTGTGGGATCCCAAAACCTGGCAGTGCCCAAATCCCACAGGACCCTAAAATCCAGTGGGACCCCAAAATCCCACAGGACCCCAAAACCTGGCAGTGCCCAAACATGACAGGACCCTAAAATCCAATGGGATCCCAAAATCCTGTGGGATCCCAAAACCTGGCAGTGCCCAAATCCCACAGGACCCTAAAATCCAGTGGGACCCCAAAATCCCACAGGACCCCAAAACCTGGCAGTGTCCAAACACGACAGGACCCTAAAATCCAGTGGGATCCCAAAATCCAGTGGGATCACAAAACCTGGCCATGCCCCAATCCCACGGGACCCCAAAAATCCAGTGGTGCCCCAAAACCTGGCAGTGCCCAAACATGACAGGACCCTAAAATCCCACGGGACCCTAAAATCCAATGGGATCCCAAAATCGAATGGGATCACAAAACCTGGCCATGCCCCAATCCCACGGGACCCCAAAAATCCAGTGGTGCCCCAAAACCTGGCAGTGCCCAAATCCCACAGGACCCTAAAAGCCGGTGGGACCCCAAAATCCCACAGGACCCCAAAACCTGGCAGTGCCCAAACATGACAGGACCCTAAAATCCAATAGGATCCCAAAATCCAATGGGACCTCAAAACCTGGCCATGCCCTAATCCCTCGGGACCCCAAAATCCAGTGGGACCCCAAAACCTGGCCATGCCCTACTCCCACGGGACCCCAAAATCCAGTGGGACCCCAAAATGTGGCGCTGCCACAAGACCCCCAGAGCCAGGGGAACCCCAAAATCCTGTGGGAAACCCCAAAATCCTGTGGCATCCTAAAACCTGGCAGTGTCCAAATCCCACAGGACCCTAAAGTCCTGTGGGATCCCAAAATCTGATGGGACCCCAAAACCTGGCAGTGCCACGAGACCCCCAAAGTTAGGGAAACCCCAAAATCCTGTGGGATCCCAAAATCTGATGGGACCCCAAAACCTGGCAGTGCCCAAATCCCACAGGACCCTAAAAGCCGGTGGGACCCCAAAATCCCACAGGACCCCAAACCCCCCAGCCCCACAAGTCCCCAGTTTCAGCTTCTCCAATTCCTGCTCTGGGCATTCCTGGTTTTTATTCCTGGCTTCCTTTTGGGGGATCCCGCTGGAATTCTGAGGTGTCCCAGTGGAATTTTGGGGGGATCCCGCTGGAATTCTGGAGGGATCCCACTGGAATTCCGGGGGATCCTGCTGGAATTCTGGGGAATCTGCTGGAATTCTGGGGGATCCCGCTGGAATTCCCGGGAATCCTTCTGGAATTCCGTGCGCTCCCAGTTTGGTGTTCCCGGATTTCGCCGCTCCGGGATTTGTCCCTGGACCTCGGGATTGGGATCAGCGACCCCGGAACTGAACTTGGGAATTTTACAGGAGAGAAGGACCCGGATCCCAAATGGGACCGAGCCGGGGTTCCGCGTGGGAATGTCAGGATTCCGTATGGGAATGTGTCGGGATTTCATGTAGGATCGAGTCGGGATGCCACGTGGGATTGAGTCGGGATTCCACGTGGGATCGAGTCGGGATTCCACGTGGGAACACGTCGGAATCCCATACGGGAATGTCAGGATCCCAGGTGGGAATGTTGGGATCCCGTATGAGAATGCCCGAATTCCCTATGGGAATGTCAGGATCCCATACGGAAGTGTCGGAATTCCATACGGAAATGTCGGGATCCCGCGTGGGAATGCCCAAATTCCATATGGGATCCCATGTGGAAATGTCGGGATCCTGTGTGGGAATGTTGGGATCTCACGTGGGAATGTTGAGATCACGTGTGACAATTCCAGGATCCCGCGTGGGAATGTCCAAATCCCACGTGGGAATGTCGGGATCCCATACAGGAATGCCTGGATTCCGTACAGAAATGTCGGGATCCTGTGTGGGAATGCCGAGATCCCACGTGGGAATGTCGGGATCCCACGTGGGAACGCTGGAATCCCGTGTGACAATGCCAGGATCCCGTGTGGGAACTCTGGAATCCCATGTGGAAATAGCAGGATCCCGTGTGGGAATGCCCAAATTCCGCGTGGGAACCCCGGGATCCCGTGTGGGAACGCCGGGATCCCGTGTGGGAATGCCCAAATCCCGTGTGGGAACGCCGGGATCCCGTGTGGGAATGCCCAAATCCCGTGTGGGAACGCCGGGATCCCGTGTGGGAATGCCCAAATCCCGTGTGGGAACGCTGGGATCCCGTGTGGGAATGCCGGGATCCCATGTGGGAATGCCCAAATTCCGTGAGGGAACGCCGGGATCCTGTGTGGGAATGCCCAAATTCCATGTGGGAACGCCGGGATCCTGTGTGGGAATGCCCAAATTCCATGTGGGAACGCCGGGATCCCGTGTGGGAATGCCCAAATTCCGCGTGGGAACGCCGGGACGCCGCGGGAGCGCGTGCTCTGCACAGACAGATCTCCATAAACCACGGCTCCGCCGCTTCCGCCTTCTCCGGCGTCCCGTGGGGGGCTGGGAAGCAACGGAGGGGATCCGGCCCCGGGAATGGGGATCCGGCCCCGGGAATGGGGATCCGGCCCCGGGAATGGGGATCCGGCCCTGGGAATGGGGATCTGGGAATGGGAATCGGGATCCGGCCCCGGGAATGGGGATCCGGGAATGGGAATGGGGATCCGGGGCTGGGAATGGGGATCCGGCCCCGGGAATGGGGATCCGGGAATGGGAATGGGGATCCGGCCCCAGGAATCGGGATCTGGGAATGGGAGTTGGGATCCAGGAATGGGAGTTGGGATCCAGGGCTGGGAATTGGGCCCCTGGAACTGGGATCCGGAGGTGGGAATTGGGATCCAGCCCCAGGAGTTGGGATCCAGGGCTGGGAACTGGGATCTGGAGGTGGGAATTGAGATCTGGCCACGGGAATTGGGATCCAGCCCTGGGAGTTGGGATCCAGCCCCATGAATTGGGATCTGGAGCTGGGAATTGGGATCTCAGCCAGGAATTGGGATCCGGGAATAGGGAATTGGGATCCACAGTTGGGAATTGGGATCCAGAGTTGGGATCCAGGGCTGGGAATTGGGATCCAGAGTTGGGAATTGGGATCTAGCCTTGGGAATTGGGATCCAGGGCTGGGAATTGGGATCCAGAGTTGGGAATTAGGATCTAACCTTGGGAATTGGGATCCGGGGCTGGGAATGGGGATCCCAGCCCGGGAATGGGGTGCCGGGAATGGGAATGGGGATCCAGGAATGGGAATGGGGATCCGGCCCCGGGAATCGGGATCTGGGGCTGGGAACTGGGATCCAGCCCCAGGAGTTGGGATCCAGAGTTGGGAATTAGGATCTAACCTTGGGAATTGGGATCCAGGGCTGGGAATTGGGATTGAGCCCCTGGAACTGGGATCCAGGGCTGGGAACTGGGATCCAGCCCCAGGAGTTGGGATCCAGAGTTGGGAATGAGGATCCAGGACTGGGAACTGGGATCCAGCCCTAGGAACTGGAATCTGGGGCTGGAAATTGGGACCTGGAGCTGGGAATTGGGATCCAGGCACTGGAATTGGGATCCAGGCACTGGAATTGGGGTTGGGCCCCTGGAACTGGGATCCGGCCCCGTGAATTGGGCTCCAGACCCAGGATGGGATCCGGCCCTGGGAGTTGGGAGCTGGAGCTGGGAATTGGGGTCCAGAGCTGGGAATTGGGATCTGGGGTCAGGAATTGGGATCCAGCCGCAGGACCTGGGGCTGGGAATTGGGATCTGGGGCTGGGAATTGGGATCCAGCCCCGGGAATTGGGATCTGGCCCCTGGAATTGGGATCCAGGGGTGGGAACTGGGATCTGGCCCTGGCAGTTGGGATCTCTCAGCTGGGAATTGGGATTGGGCCCCTGGAACTGGGGTTGAGCCCCGTGAATTGGGATCCAGACCCAGGATGGGATCCGGAGCTGGGAATTTGGATCAGGGCACTGGAACTGGGATCTGGCCCTGGGAATTGGGGTCCAGCCCCAGGCATTGGGATTTGGGATCTGGGGCTGGGAATTGGGATCTGGCCCCTGGAATTGTGATCCAGAGGTGGGAATTGGGATCCAGGGGTGGGAACTGGGATCTGGCCCTGGCAGTTGGGATCTCTCAGCTGGGAATTGGGATTGGGCCCCTGGAACTGGGGTTGAGCCCCGTGAATTGGGATCCAGACCCAGGATGGGATCCGGAGCTGGGAATTTGGATCAGGGCACTGGAACTGGGATCTGGCCCTGTGAGCTGAGAGCCAGCCCCAGGAACTGGGATCCAGCCCCAGGAATTGGGATCCAGAGTTGGGAATTGGGATCTGGGCTCGGAAATTGGGATCCAGGGCTGGGAACTGGGATCCAGCCCTGGAATCTGCCCCAGGGGATCTGCGGGGGTGTCGGGGAATGTCCCCCTAATCCAAGACCCCTGGGACCCTCAGCACTGGAATTAAGATTGAGCCTTGGGGACTGGGATCTGGAGCTGGGAATTGGGATCCTGCCCCTGGAACTGGGATCCAGAGTTGGAAATTGGGATCCAGGGCTGGGAACTGGGATCCAGCCCTGGAATCTGCCCCAGGGGATCTGCGGGGGTGTCGGGGAATGTCCCCCTAATCCAAGACCCCTGGGACCCTCAGGGCGGGATCAGGACTTCCCGGGACCCTCGGGGTGGGATCGGGACCCTCAGGGTGGGATCGGGACCCTCGGGGTGGGATCGGGACCCTCGGGTGGGATCGGGACATCCCAGGACCCTCAGGTGGGATCGGGACCCTCGGGGTGGGATCGGGACCCTCGGGTGGGATCGGGACATCCCAGGGGGGGAGGGGACACCGGGGGGGTCCGGCCACCCCCGGGACCCGGCCCGGGGACACGCGGGGAAGGTTCCGGAAGGTTCCGCGGGAGAATCCATCGGGAGCGGCGACGTCACAGCCCTGGGGACAGGAGAGGACAGTGGGGACAGTGACAGTGTCACAGCCCTGGGGACAGGAGAGGACATTGGGGACAATGTCACAGCCCTGGGGACATTGGGGACAGGACAGGACAGGGTCAGTGTCACAGCCCTGGGGACAGGACAGGACATTGGGGACAGTGTCACAGCTTTGGGGACAGGAGAGGACATTGGGGACAGTGTCAGTGTCACAGCCCTGAGGACAGTGGGGACAGTGACAGTGTCACACCCTGGGGACAGGACAGGACATTGGGGACAGGACAGTGTCACAGCCCTGGGGACAGCGGGGACAGGACAGGACAGTGTCACACCCTGGGGACAGGGGGGACACGGCGGTGTCACCTCTAGGTCACCTCGGGTCACAGCTGGGCCACCTCTGGGCCACCTCGTGTGACTTCTGGGACACCCGTGTCACCTCTGTCCCCAGCGGTGTCACCCTGTCACCCCCTGTCACCTCCCCCCCGGTGTCCCCAGAGCCACCCCTGCCACCCTCGGTGTCCCCGTGTCACCTCCTGCCACCCGCACTGGTGCCACCCTGTCCCCGTGTCCCCCCGGTCCCCAGCGGTGTCCCTCTGTCCCCTTGGCCACCCCCCGGTGTCCCCCGGTCCCCATGGCCACCCCCTGTCCCTCCCCGGTGTCACCCCAACCATCCCCCCCCCCAGGTGCCACCTTGTCCCCACGGCCACCCTGTGTCCCTCCCGCAGTGTCCCCGATGTCCCCCCCGAAACACCGGAACCCCAAAACCCCAAAACACCGGTACCCCAAAACACCGGGAACCCCCAACTGTGGGGACCCCGAAACACCAGAACCCCAAAACACCGGAACCCCAAAAACCCCAAAACACCGGGAACCCCGAACTGTGGGGACCCCGAAACACCGGAACCCCAAAACCCCAAAACACCGGAACCCCAAAAACCCCAAAACACCGGGAACCCCGAACTGTGGGGACCCCGAAACACCGGAACCCCAAAAACCCCAAAACACCGGGAACCCCGAACTGTGGGGACCCCGAAACACCGGAACCCCAAAACACCGGGAACCCCAAAAACCCCAAAACACCGGAAACCCCAAAAAAGGGAAACCCCAAAAACACCGGGAACCCCGAACTGTGCGGACCCCAAAACACGGGGAACCCCAAAAAACGAGGAACCCCAAACTGTGGGAACCCCGAAACCCCGGGAACCCCAAACTGTGGGAACCCCGAAACCCCGGGAACCCCAAACTGTGGGAACCCCAAAACACCGGGAACCCCAAAAACCCCAAAACACCGGAAACCCCAAAAAAGGGAAACCCCAAAAACACCGGGAACCCCGAACTGTGCGGACCCCAAAACACCAAGAACCCCAAAACACCGGGAACCCCAAAAAGGGAAACCCCAAAAACCCCATAAACGGGAACCCCAAACTGTGGGAACCCCAAAACACCGGGAACCCCAAAACCGGGAAACCCGAAAACACCGGGAACCCCAAAAACGGGAACCCCAAACTGAGCGAACCCCAAAACACTGGGAACCCCGAAAACCCCAAAAGCCAGAACCCCAAAACACTGGGAACCCCAAAAACGGGAACCCCAAACTGTGGGAACCCCAAAACACCGGGAACCCCAAAAACCCCAAAAACAGGAATCCCGAACTGTGGGGACCCCAAAACACCAAGAACCCCAAAACCGGGAAACCCCAAAAACACTGGGAACCCCAAGACCGGGAAGCCCCAAAAACGGGAACCCCAAACTGTGGGAACCCCAAAAAATGGAAACCCCAAAAAGAGAAATCCAAAAAAAACCCCAAAAACGGGAACCCCAAACTGTGGGAACCCCAAAAAATGGAAACCCCAAAAAGAGAAACCCAAAAAAACCCCAAAAACGGGAACCGCAAAAACAGGAACCCCAAAAAACACAATCCCAAAAACGGAGACCCCAAAATGTGGGAAACCCCAAAAACACCGGGAACCCCAAAAAAACCCAAAAAACGGGAACCCAAAAAAATACCGGGAACCCAAAAACACCGGGAACCCCCCAAAACGGGGAAACCCCAAAAACAGGAACCCCCCCAAAAAACCCAAAACGAGGAACCCCAAATTGTTTGAACCCCAAAAACACAGGGAACCCCAAAAAACAGGAATCCCCCAAAAAAAACCCAACAAAACGGGGAAACCCCAAATTGTGGGAACCCCAAAATAAAAACCAAAAACGGGAACCCCAAAAACTGGGAACCCGAAAAAAAAAAGGGAACCCCGAAAAACCGGAAACCCAAAAAAAACGGAGACCCCCAAAATGAGAACCCTAAAATGGGAACCCCAAAAACGGGGAACCCCAAAAACGGGAACCCCAAATTATTGGGGTCGGGATTTGGGGTCTGGGGGCTTTGGAGTTTTTGGGATTTGGGGTTTTGGGGTCCCCCAGGGTCGGGATTTGGGGGCTACCGGTGGGGGGGGCACCGGGACCCCCGGGGGAGGGGGGATTGGGGTCCCGGTGCCCGGTTTTGGGGTCCCAGTCCCCATTTTTGGGGTCCCCAACCCATTTTTGGGGTCTCCTTCCCCGTTTTTGGGGCCCCCAACCCATTTTTGGGGTCCTTTTTCCATTTTTGGGGTTCCTGTCCCCATTTTCGGGGTCTCTGTGCCAAATTTTGGGGTCTTTGTCCCCATTTTTGGGGTGCTCGTGCCCATTTTTGGGGTCCCTTTCCCCATTTTTGGGGTCCCCATCCCCAATTTCGGGGTCCCTGTCCCCATTTTCGGGGTCCCTATCTCCGTTTTTGGGGTCCCTTTCCCCATTTTTGGGGTCCCTGTCCCCCTTTTCGGGGTCCCTATCTCCGTTTTTGGGGTCCCTTTCCCCATTTTGGGGTCCCTGTCCCGTTTTTGGGGTCCCCATCCACATTTTCGGGGTCCCCTTCCCCATTTTGGGGGTCCCTTCCCCATTTTTGGCGTCCCCGTGCCCATTTTTGGGGTCCCTTCCCCATTTTTGGGGTCCCCGTGCCCATTTTCGGGGTCCCTTTCCCCTTTTTGGGGTCCCCTTTCCCATTTTCGGGGTCCCCTTTCCCATTTTTGGGGTCCCTTTCCCCATTTTCGGGGCCCCCGTGCCCATTTTCGGGGTCCCTGTCCCCATTTTGGGGTCCCTGTCCCGTTTTTGGGGTCCCCATCCACATTTTCGGGGTCCCCTTCCCCATTTTGGGGGTCCCTTCCCCATTTTTGGCGTCCCCGTGCCCATTTTTGGGGTCCCTTCCCCATTTTTGGGGTCCCCGTGCCCCTTTTTGGGGTCTTTGTCCCCATTTTCGGGGTCCCCGTGCCCATTTTCGGGGTCCCTTTCCCCTTTTTGGGGTCCCCTTTCCCATTTTCGGGGTCCCCTTTCCCATTTTTGGGGTCCCTTTCCCCATTTTCGGGGCCCCCGTGCCCATTTTCGGGGTCCCTGTCCCCATTTTTGGGGTCCCCGTGCCCATTTTCGGGGTCCCTTTCCCGTTTTTGGGGTCCTTATCCCCGTTTTCGGTCCCTTCCCCATTTTTGGGGTCCCCGTGCCCCTTTTTGGGGTCTTTGTCCCCATTTTCGGGGTCCCTTTCCCGTTTTTGGGGTCCCTTTCCCCATTTTCGGGGTCCCTTTCTCCATTTATGGGGTCCCTTTTCCCGTTTTTGGGGTCCCTATCTCCATTTTCGGGGTCCCCGTGCCCATTTTTGGGGTCCCCTTGCCCATTTTCGGGGTCCCCGTGCCCATTTTTGGGGTCCCCTTGCCCATTTTCGGGGTCCCCCAGCCCGTTTTTGGGGTCCCTGTCCCCCTTTTCGGGGTCCTCTTCCCAATTTTTGGGGTCCCCAACCCAATTTTGGGGTCCCCGTGCCCATTTTGGGGTCCCCAACACAATTTTGGGGTCCCTGTTCCCATTTTCGAGGTATTTTTTCCCATTTTTGGGGTCCCTTTCCCCATTTTCGGGGTCCCCGTGCCCATTTTCGGGGTCCCTTTCCCCATTTTTGGGTCCCTTTTCCCATTTTCGGGGTCCCTATCCCCATTTCTGGGGTCTTTGTCCCCATTTTCGGGGTCCCTGTCTCCATTTTTGGGGTCCCCAACCCAACTCTAGGGTCCCTGTCCCAGATTTTGGGGCCCCCAACCCAATTTTGGGGTCCCTTTTCCCGTTTTTGGGGTCCCCGTCCTCCTTTTTCGGGGTCCTCGTGCCCATTTTGGGGGTCACTTCCCCCTTTTTGGGGTCCCAGTCCCGTTTTTGGGGTCCCCGTCCTCCTTTTTCGGGGTCCTCGTGCCCATTTTGGGGTCCCCCTGTCCATTTTTTGGGGTCCCTTTCCCATTTTTGGGGCCCCTGTCCCGTTTTTGGG